TCTTCCATGACCAATCCTGGGTCCCCCATTCCTCCTCCAGCCCCCCGTGCCCTAAACCAACCCTCCCACTCCCCTCCTGCCCCACTCCCCATTCCCCTCATACCCCATGTCAGCACCCCTGTACCCCTTCCTGCCCACTGTACCCCCATTACGTCCGGGGCCCCCCTTCCCCCTCCCAAGACCATTTGTCCCACTCTCGATACCCCTATAACCTCCTCCCGACTCCTCCATGCCCCTTCCAGACACCCTCATACTCCCGTACCGCCCCTACCCCCAGCTTCTCCCGGTCCCCAGTGACCCCGTGCCCATACACGTCCCCTCCCGGCCCTCCAGTTCCCACCGTCGGCTACCCTACAAAACCCTTCTGGGTCTCCCTTGCCCCCCTCCCGGTACCCTCCCGGCCGCTCCACCCTGCGCCCCGCGTACCCCCCCGTTCCCCCCGGAGCCCCTCACCCCGTACCCTCCGGACCGTTCCCGCTCCGCTGCTCCCGCCGCGCCCCGACCCCCCCGCCCGGGGCTATTTTTACCCGGCCGGGGGCAGGTGCCGCCTTCACTCACCGCCCACCCGCGGGGCACGCGTGGGGTCAGGCCGGACACAGGGGCGCGGCTGGGGAGAGGGGGACACGCCGACACTCCCATCCGGACAGCGGCGACGACCTCAAAGGAGCCCACGGGGTGACTAGTGGGGCCCGCACCGTGGGGGCCCGGGGGGACACCGGAGACACCCTGGGCAGGGACAGGGAGACCTGGGGGTCACGGGCACACTGGGGAGGAGGTGGAAGGACACAGGGAGGCGTGGGGACACAGCGGGACGCGGGAGTCACGGGGGACACGGAGGGACGTGGAGGACACGGGGAACGCCGGGGGCAAAGACTCCAGGGGGGATGTGGGTCACACGGGGACAGCCCGGGAGGGGTGGCGGGACACGGTGGGGAGCCAGAGAGCTGGAGACACGAGGCAGGGGACACGAAGAGTCCCAGAACCCCCGACGATCCCCGGACTGTCCCGGGGACGGTCCCGGCGCTGGCCGCCCCTCCTCGACCTGACCACGCCCCCTGCGGCCTGACCACGCCCCAGAGGGGCAAAGGCCGGGCAGGGCGCGCCTGTCCCTCCCGCCGCCCCGGCCCCGCCCTCCCTCCGCGATGCCCAATGAGCGCTCGGGACGCACGTGGGGTCCCACTTTCTCCCGGTCTCTATTGGCCTGGGCGGGCGGCGGGGCGGGGCCACCGCGCGGGCGGGCGGAAGCGCGGCGCCCACGTGGTTCCTGCGGGGACCGGGCGGAACCGGGGGATCGGACGGGACCGAACCGAGCGTGGCCGGGCCGAGCGACAGCGGGATCGGGATCGGGGCCGGCCGCCATGGACCCGCTGCGGGCACAGCAGCTGGCGGCCGAGCTGGAGGTTGAGATGATGGCCGACATGTACAACCGGTGCGGCCCGCCGCGGGGGGCGTTGGGGTGCTGGGGCTACCGGGGGGTGCCTATGTCTGGGGGGGGACACTGGGCGGTGCCAGAGCCACTGGGAGACCCTGAGGTGCTGCGGATGGAGAGGAGCGCGCGGGGTCCTAGAGGCCACCTGCGACATGGGGGGGCATCGGAGGTATCCGAGGATGGGAAATACTGGGGGGTCCCGGGGGTGCCGGGGACGGCTATTACAGCGGATGTTGGGGTGCAAGGGGCCAGGATCTTGGGGAGATGCAGACGCCGATGTCCTGGGACGGTAATTGCGGAGTGCAGGATCCGGGGGTGCCGGGGATGGCGATCGCGGGGGGTACGAGAGCTGTCGGGTGCAAGACTGGGGTCCTGGGGTGGTGTGGGGTGAGGGTGCTGGCGATGGCGGTGACGAGGGTGCAGGAGATACTGGGGTGCGGGGGATCCCAGGGGGTGGCGATGGCGGGGTACAGGGCGTGTTGGGGTGCGAGGCCGGGTCCTGCGGGGCTCAGGCACGGTGTGGTCCGTGCAGGATGACCCAGGCGTGCCACCGCAAGTGCGTTCCGCCGCTGTACAAGGAGTCGGAGCTGTCCAAGGGGGAGTGCGTGTGCCTGGACCGGTGCGTGGCCAAGTACCTGGAAGTGCACGAGCGGATGGGCAAGAAGCTGACGGAGCTGTCGCTGCAGGACGAGGAGCTGCTCAAGCGGATGCAGCAGGGCAGCGGCAGCGCCTGAGCCCCCCCACCTGCACCCCAATAAACTGGGGGCGCTAGCCCCCCTCACCCCCCAAACCCACACCGTGGCTGTCTCTTGGCATATATGGTGCCCGTGGCTGCTACTGGGAGCCCCCCCTTGCTGTCCCCAGCTGCCACGTGCCGTGTCCTTGTGGGGGGCATCCGGGGGTGCCCCCCCTGCCGGGCCCAGCCCGTGTAATCCCCTGGATTAGGCAGAGCCGGGCTGAGCCCCTTGTAATCCCCAGTGGGGTGGGACAGGGCTCAGCCCCTCCCTGTCTGTCTGTGCTGGGGGTCACTGGAGGGGACAGCCGGAGGTCCCTGCACAGGGACACAGCCCTGGAGGGACAGGGCACAGGGACACCCACACGCGGACACAGCCCTGGAGGGGCAGGGCACAGGGACACCCACACAGGGATACCCCCAAGACACCCAGCCCTGGTTGGGATGGGACCGTGTGGGGACAACCCAGGGACACTCACCCCTGGGCTGGGACCATGTGGGGACATCAGAGACCACAGAGGAGGGAGCACAGGGGACACCCAAACAGGGACAGTCTGGACATGCACACCCGCAGGGGCAGTTGAGGGGAAAAGGGACTCCCCACACGGACACCTGGGGAGCTACCCCCGCTGAGGGACACCCCACCCTGGGGGAGGGACACCTGCCAAGTGGCACCCTGGGAGTGACACGCACGCAGCAGGACCCACAGCCGGGGTAGACCGTGTCCTCGTGCCCATGCCCCCGTGCCCGTGCCCCCGCAGCGCGCGCTCCATCTGTGTGCCGGCGCCTGCAGGAAGTGGGTCAGGCTGTGCAGGGCGCGGGGGTGGCTTCGCACCCCGCGGCTCCCATGATGCCCGCTGGCGCCCTGCGAGGGGTGCAGGGCGTCGGCGTCACGAGTGCTTGCGCGTGGCCGGCCCTGCTGCGGCCGTGAGTGCGCGTTGATGGGTACGCAGCGCGTGTTTGAGGGTGTGTGTGGCCGCACAACTCCCGGGAGTGGGGGAGTGGGTGTCCGTCCATCTGTCTGCCCGCCCCCCCCATGGTGCCCTGCACGCCTCGCTGCCTTGCCGCCTGCCGCTCCCATCAATATTTCAGGAGCAGCAGGCGGTGACCTGGAACAGCAGTGGCCCCCCTTCCCCCTGCCCCTGCAGCAGCAGCCAGGCCCCGCTCTCCCAAAATAAGACCATTTTTAATAAATAATTTCCCACCTTTTGGTTCCTCTTGGGGGTTTTTCCCGCTCAGGATAAGGAGGAGACCCCCTTCTGTATCCTGCAGCACCCCCCCGTCGCACCGGCTGCCCCCCCACAGTTCTTGAGGCCTCCCCTGGGGAGAAGGGAGGCACAGGCGCCCCGAGGAGCTGGGACCTCCCTGGGGCGCCAAGGGGGGCTCAAAGTCGGGGCAGGAGCACAGCGAGGAGGGGCAGGAGGATGGGGGGCTGGTGGGAAGTGGCTGCAGCCATGGGGGCACAGGGGTCATGGGGGCAGCTGGCGTCCTCGGGGGGCCCGCGGGAGTCACGGGACGGGGGGGGCGGCCGGGGCTGGGGTCCCCGCAGGTCGTGGGGGGGCAGCCCGTCACGGTAGAAGGCAGAGGGCGGCGCCGCTGGGAGGGTGCCGGGGCGGCCCAGCGCCCGCCCAGGAGTGCCCATCACCGCCACCCCATTGGGGCCATCATTGCCACCTTCCTCCTCTTCTTCCTCCTCATCATCATCGGGGCAGGCGTCGAAGTCGTGGGGGCGCAGGTGGCGCAGGTCGGTGCCACGGCGGTGCGGGGGGCTGGCGCAGGGCACGGCGGAGCTGGAGACGCGTGTGCGGCGGAACCAGGCCCAGAGCGGGCGCGCGCGGCAGTCGCAGGCCCAGGGGTTGGCGTTGAGGCGCAGGAACTGGAGCGCAGGCAGGGCGGCCAGCGGGTCCCCCGGCAGGGCAACCAGGCTGTTGTTGAACAGGTAGAGGATGGTGAGGCGCGCCAGCCCGCCGAAGGCGCGGCGGTGGATGGCTGCCAGCCGGTTGGCATGCAGCAGCAGGCGGTCCAGGCTCGGCAGCCCCCGGAAGACACCCTCTGACAGTGCCCGCAGCCGGTTCCCATGCAGGAAGAGGTGGCTCAGGTTGGCCAAGTCGGCAAAAAGGTCGTCCTGCGGGGAATGGGAGAGGGGTGAGCGTGGGGTGTGGATTTATGGTGCTGTTCCGTGGCCTTGCCCAGTGGACATCACCTGGAAACCTGCCTTGCCCTGGATCTTTGTCCTGAAGGCATCACCCATCACCCTGCCCTGTGTCCCTGGTCCCCTGGCATCATTTAGCACCTTGCTCCATTGTTCTTCCTGCTCCATGGGTGTTACCCATCACCCTGCCCCATGAACATCACCCATCACCTTGTCCTGTGTCCCTGCTCTATGGGCACCATCCAAGACCTTGTCCCATGTCCCTGCCCTACTGGTGTCACCCATGGTCCTGCCCCACAGCCATGACCCTGCTGCATGTCCCTGCTCACTCAGCATCCCCTGTCACCGCCCCATGCTCTGGCTCCGTCAGCATCGCCTTGTCCCACATCCTGGCTCTGTGGGCACCACCCACAGAGCGGGTGCCAGTCCCAACACCCAACGTCACCCACCTCTCCTGCCCCCTGCCCCAGGCCCCCATGCCCCTGGGCCGTGCGGACCTGGAGGTAGAGCAGCCCGTTCTCCTGCAGGTAGAGGTATTGGAGGCTGCGGAGGCCACGGAAGATGCCGCTGGGCAGGCTGGCCAGCCGGCACCGGTACAGGTGCAGGGCCTGGAGGCGGTGGAGGCCGTGGAAGGTGTCGGGGGCCAGGACACGGAGGTGGGGGTTGTCACCCAGATCGAGCTCCTCCAGGGCGGGCAGGTGGCGGAAGGTGCCCGGCTGGATGGAGGAGATGTTGTTGGAGTAGAGCCAGAGGGTGACGGTGCTGGGCCCGAAGGTGCCCGCCCGCAGCGCCCCGATGACGTTGTTCTGCAGGAAGAGGCGGCGGGCACCGGGCGGGAGCCCCGCGGGCACCGAGGAGAAGTTGTTGGCCTGGCAGCTGACGGTGGGCGGCGAGACGTAGCAGGTGCAGAGCGCGGGGCAGGCGGAAGCCCCGCCGGGCACCCACACCAGTGCCGCCAGCAGCAGCAGGGCCGCCGGGCGCCCGCCTGAGGGCACAGCGGGGCGTCAGCGCGGGGCACCGCGCGATCCCAACCCCCACACCGCCGCCCCCTGGCCTTTACCGCCCATGGAGCCTCCCAGGGCTCTGCCCACCCCATCAGGTCACAATTCCCAAGGTCCTCACCTTGCCATAGGGTTGGACACCCCTAGGAACCCCCCAGGATGGTGTACACCTCATAGGGCCATAGTTCTCTGGGAGAACCCCAAGGTCATGACCCCCCATAGGGCTGGGTACCTCTAGGCACTCCCAAGGCCTTGCTCACCCCCTAGGCCTATGATTCCCTTGGAGAACCCCAAGGTCATGACCACCCTGAAGGGCAGGACACCCCTAGGAGCCCCACAGGGCTGTACCTGCTCACAGGGCTATGGCCTCCAGGAGACCTGCAAGGGTCATGCCTCTCCAGGAACGCCCTAGTGGCCATGGTCCCCTGGGATTCTCCTAGGATCATGGTCCCATTGGAGAACCCCAAGGTCATAACCACTCCCTAGGGCTGAGCATCCGTTGCAGCCCCCTAGACCCACATCAGCCCCACAGGGCTGTGCTTCCCAAACACCTGCCCGGGGCCAAGCCGCCCCATAGCACCAAGCCCACCCCTCAGGGCTGGGCACCCCAAAAAATGACTGTATTCCCTTGGGACCCCTTGGGGCTGTGGATGCCACTGGGGCTGTTCTCCCCAAGGACCCCCAAAGCTCCCTGACCCTCCTGCCCTGGCCACACTCCCATGGGACCATGCTCACCCCAGGGTACACCAGAACCCCCCAAGGGGTCATGCACCCCTGGGACCCCCCTCCCCCTAGTCTGGAGGGGGGGGCTGTCCCCCCCCCAAACTGGGCGGTGCCACGTGCGCGCGTGCCGCGGCCACGTGTGGGGCGGGGCACGCGTGGGCGCGGGCTGACGACACGCGCCACCGCTCCGGGTGTTCAGCATCCCCCCTTCCCCCTCACCCGTGTCCATCCCCCCCCTCGGTCTGCAACCCGAGAGCTTCATCCATAATTCAGCCCGGCGGCCTGGATCCACGCCCGGGGATGCGTGGATGCGCCCAGTCGC